TGGCTTCGCGGAGAAGGTGCTCTTCCGTGGCGTCTGCAAGTGGGGCCTCGCTCCTCCTACCAACCTCTCAAGCGGACCTCCTGTCCACAGTCCCCCGCGAAGTCAAGTTCACGTCTGGGCTGAGCGCCATGGTCGCGGAGGAGGGCCAGGAGGCCACCTTCCAGTGCGTGGTGACCCCCAGCGACGCGGCGGTCCTGTGGTTCCGGGACGGTACCCAGCTGCAGCCCAGCGAGAAGTTTCGCATGTCGCAGAGCGGCGCCAGCCACAGCCTGACCATCTCGGGTCTGGTCCTGGAGGACGCCGGCCAGATCACCGCGGAGGCTGAGGGGGTCACATCCTCGGCTGCCCTCCGCGTCCGAGGTGCGGGGCCGGGGGGTGGCGGGAGTGTGGGCCCCTCACGGGTGGGCTGGCATCGTGCTGCTCGCAGGTGCCCGCTCCTCTGGCTGATCTCAGGGAACACAGGGTTTGCTGGTTGCAGAGAGAAGACCGGGGTGGGATGGAAGGGCTGGGCACCTCCTCTGAAGGAGTAAACTGCTGCACTGTGCCCCTGGTCTGAGAACGGATCCGCACCGAGCCCCATAGGTGGCAAGATGGGAGGGAGTGGGGTTGGCAGCCAGTGCAAGCAGAGGCAGGAGGGGAGGACGCATTTTGCTCGATGAAGCCAGATTGTCAGTGAGAGCCAGCCTTCACCTGCGGATAAGTGGGAGCCATCGCAGGTCTTGAGTAAGAGTAATGTGGGCAGACTCACTTTCTGGGGAGGTCATGGTACAGTGTGGGACTTCAGCATGTTTCTCTCCCTTAACGTTCGGGCTCCCAGGGCTCCAGTGGAGTGGAGATGCTAATTCGACTGGTCTGGGGGCTCAGAGCCCACCTGTCTCACCAGCTCCGTGTCCTGAGGCTACTGGTCACCACACGTAGGAGCTCCAGGCACTGGTGCCTGGCAGAGTTGTTCAGAGCAGGGGAGCAGAGGTGGGAGGGGGCTGGGAAAGGAGAGGCCTCCTTAGTCTCCATTTCCTCCCATTAAAGTATACCTGTGCAGGTGTGCAGCTGGGCCCTGAGTATTGCTAAAGCCTTGCCTGGCTTGGAGGCAGAATGTGGTAGGGGTCCCTGCTCTGCTGGCTGGGGGCTGGGTTGGACAGGGGCCCTCTGAGCCTCGTGTTCCTGAGTGGCAGTGGCTGTGTGATTGCCCTTTCCCTGACCCCAGAGGCTCCTGTGCTGTTCAAGAAGAAGCTGGAGCCACAGACAGTGGAGGAGTGGGGTTCAGTGACCCTGGCAGTAGAGCTGACCAGGCCTTGGCCGGATGTCAAGTGGACACGCAATGCCATGGCCATATCCCCAAGCGAGAATGTGGCAATCTACACGGAGGGCGCAAGTCACCGCTTGGTCCTCCGCAGTGTGGGTTTTGCTGACCGTGGCTTCTATGGCTGTGAGACGCCAGATGACAAGACACAGGCCAAGCTCACAGTAACAAGTGAGCTACAGGGCAGCTGGGTCTGGGGTCTGGCACCCAGGAGAGGGGAGGGAGGGGGGAAGGGATGGAGAGAAGTGAGCTTCCCACTGGGGACCTGGCCTTGGGAAGGGAGGGTTATCAGGGGGAGAGCTCTTATGGCTGGGGGTGAAGTGGGCCTCCCAGGGAGGGCAATTATCCTCCTGTGGATGTGGGCCTCCCCCTCTAGGGCAACACGCTGAGCGGAGGCCTCTGGGAAGGACAGAGGGAGGGCCAGGGTCTCGGTGCAGTGGCATACCCTTCCCTCCTTTGCTCCGCAGTGCGCCAGGTCCAGCTCCTGCGGGGCCTGCAGGTGGTGGAGGTGCAAGAGCAGGGCTCCACCACCATGGAGGTGGAGCTGTCCCATGCCAACGTAGAGGGCAGCTGGACACGTGATGGCCTTCGGCTACAGCCAGGGCCCACGTGCCAACTGGCAGTTCAAGGCCCCATTCACACCCTCACGCTGTCTGAGCTGCGGCCACAGGATGGTGGTCTCATTGCCTTCAAGGCTGAGGGCGTGCACACATCCGCGCGGCTGGTGGTAACTGGTGCGTGGGGGGTGGAGTGAGACTCACTCGAGACTGCATGGTCCCTGTCTTGAAGGGGAGGCAGGTGGGGACAGGGGTGTGGAATCCCGGAGGGGGGGCATTCATTCCTAGAACCAGCTGAGTGATTTGGTCCATCTCAGCCCCCCTCCCCCACTCCACCTGCCTCTCTCATCTCCTTCTGCCTCCCCAGAGCTGCCTGTGAGGTTCAGCCGCCCACTGCAGGACATGGTGGCTACAGAGAAAGACAAAGTGACCCTGGAGTGTGAGCTGTCACGCCCCAATGTGGACGTGCGCTGGCTGAAGGTGCCTCTGTCCCTGGACTCTTCTGCTCCATCCTACTCCTCACCATGAGGGGCATCCCCAGCACCTGACCTGATTTTGTACCCCCACAGGATGGCGTGGAGCTTCAGGTTGGCAAGACAGTGGGTATGGCAGCCAAGGGCACCTGCCGGACTCTCATCATTTACCAGTGTGCTTTTGGGGACCAGGGCGTGTATGTGTGTGATGCCCATGGGGCTCAGACCTCGGCATCCCTGAAGGTGCAAGGTGAGGACTGGGCAGAGTGGGAGGTCAGGGCCAGGTGCAGGACCTCCTTACCCCCTGTCACTCCCATTGAGGTGCTTGGCCCTCTGACCCCAACCCTCTGGTACTCAGCAAGCTGTGGATGGGGGAGGGGCAGGCAGCTCTGTGCTTCAGTGTGGCAGGGCCTCCCTCGCTGCCCCAGGACGCAACATCCAGATCCTGAGACCCCTGGAGGACGTGGAGGTGATGGAGAAGGAGAGCGCCACTTTCTCCTGTGAGGTCTCCCATGATGACGTGTCTGCTCAGTGGTTCCGGGAGGGCAGTAAGCTTCGGTCCAGTGACAACGTGCGCATCCGCCAGGAAGGTGTGACAATTACGGCAGTGGCTGTGGGAGGGCCTCTCCCCATCCTCCGTGCGCCTCCCCCAGTGCTGAGTGGTCTGTGTTCCCAGGAAGGACATACACGCTCATCTACCGGAGGGTCCTGGTGGAAGAAGCAGGAGAAATCCGATTTGTAGCTGAAAATGCAGAATCTCGAGCCCAGCTCCGAGTGAGAGGTGAGGGGGACTCAAGGGAGGATGTGGGCTGGACACCAAGTGAGAACATAGATGGGTGCTGTGCCAGCTGTCCCGACACAGGCCTGCGGCGCTCCAGCCCCTCCCAGGACAGGACAGGGGTAACCCAGGAGGAGGCAAAGAGGGTGTTGCCTCCACTGCAGGAAGGCAGGGGTCTGAGGAGGCAGCCCTTCTTGTTTAAAATGGAGATATCAGTGAGTTCTTCCTCCTGGGACTGCAGCAGGTGCTGGAGAGTGAGGCCCTGGTGGCCTTGATGACAGGAGAGGGTGGCGACCAGGCCTGAGGGAGGGAGGGATAGTCTGTGGACAGGTAAGGTGATCACACAAGGGTGTTGATACACAGGAGAGGACAAGGGGGGCGGCAAGAGGGGCAGGGCAAGAGGTGGAAAGGGTGGAAGGTAGGTGTGGGTGCACCTACTTTCTTCAGGGTCAATTGTACGGAAGGGGTCAGACCTGAGGGTGACACCCGCTTTAGCCTGGCTGGTTGGGAGCACCCACCTGACTCTTCCCTGCTCACCCACAGAGCTGCCAGTGTCCATTCTGCGCCCCCTGCGGGACAAGATTGCCATGGAGAAGCATCGCGGGGTACTTGAGTGCCAGGTGTCTCGGGCCAGTGCCCAGGTGCGGTGGTTCAAGGGTGGCGTGGAACTGCGGACCGGGCCCAAGTATGAGATGGTCAGCGATGGCCTCTACCGCAAGCTGGTCATCAGTGATGTGCAGCCTGAGGATGAGGACACTTACACATGCGATGCTGGCGATGTGAAGACCTCTGCCCAGTTCTTTGTGGAAGGTGTGGGCAGGGCTGTAGGCAGCTGTCCTCTGTGCCTGGGGATGGGCTGCGGCCTCTATCATTGGCCCTGATACTTGGAGGCAGCCAGGTCTGAGAAGGGCCTGACTGGGGGGCATTGGGGCAGGGGGGGAGGATGTGAGCACGTGTGTTTGGTGGGAGGGTTTGTTCCCAGGAAGGAACACCGATGGGGGCAGTCCTCCTGCAGACACAGTGATGCCTCTCGCCCACAGAGCAATCCATCACCATCGTGCGGGGCCTGCAGGACGTGACCGTGATGGAGCCCGCCCCCGCCTGGTTCGAGTGTGAGACCTCCATTCCCTCTGTTCGGCCGCCCAAGTGGCTGCTGGGGAAGACGCCGTTGCAGGCCGGGAAGGATGTGGGCGTGGAGCAGGAAGGCACAGTGCACCGGCTGACGCTGCGGCGTACCTGCTCCACCATGACCGGGCCAGTGCACTTCACCATCGGCAAGTCGCGCACCACCGCCCAGCTGGTTGTCTCAGGTGGGCGCGCAGCCCCTGGGCGAAGGAGGGGTCCTTAGCGGATGGCAGTGCCCGGAGCTCCTCTGGCCCGGCCCACCCGCAGCGCTGCGCTCTCTCCTCCCGTGCAGACATCCCTGTGGTGCTTACAAGGCCGCTGGAGCCTAAGGCGGGCCGTGAACTGCAGTCAGTGGTCCTGTCCTGCGATTTCAAGCCGCCCCCCAAGGCTGTGCAGTGGTACAAGGAGGACACACCCTTGGCGCCCTCGGACAAATTCAGAATGCGCCTGGAGGGCCACATGGCTGAGCTGAGAGTGCTGCGGCTCACGCCCGCCGACGCGGGCATCTACCGGTGCCAGGCTGGCGGTGCCCAGAGCTGTGCCCAGGTCACCGTGGAAGGTGCGCGGCGGGGGTGCAGGGCCGCCCGGAGGGGCCCGGGGGCGGTGGTGCCGAACGCTAAGCCTCCATGTGCTCTTGGCAGCGCGGGAGGTGACCGTGACGAGGCCGCTGCAGGACGCGGAGGCCACGGAGGAGGGCCGCGCCTGCTTCTCGTGCGAGCTTTCCCACGAGGACGAAGAGGTGGAGTGGTCACTCAATGGGACGCCCCTCTACAACGACAGCTTCCACGAAATCACCCACGAGGGCCACCGCCACACGCTGGTGCTGAAGCGGGTCAGGCGGGGGGACGCGGGCACCGTGCGCGTCTCTTCCCCCAAGGTGACGGCCTCTGCCCGCCTGGAGGTCAGAGGTGAGGCGGCCTGCAGGGGTCTGTGGGAGTCCCCCCAGGGATCCCCGCTGGTGAGGCGGCGGCTCCTTCGCTCACCTCCTGACACCTCGTCCTGCAGCGAAGCCGGCGGTGTTCCTGAAGGCGCTGGATGACGTGTCCGCGGAGGAGCAGAGCACCCTGACCCTGCAGTGCGAGGTCTCCGACCCCCAGGCGGGTGTGGTGTGGCGCAAGGACGGAGTGGAACTGGGCCCCAGCGACAAGTACAACTTTCTGCACACGGCGGGCACGCGTGGGCTGGTGGTCCACGACCTGAGCCTGGACGACGCGGGCCTGTACACCTGCCACCTGGGCACTGAGGAGACCTGCGCGCACGTCAGCGTGCACGGTGCGTGGGGGCGTGGCCGAGAGGGGGAGTGGCCTGACACAGAAGGCGTGGCCACATACTGAGGTCCTGCCCACTCAAGCTGGGGCTGTTCACTGAGTCAGGAGAGGTCAGGCAGGCTGGGAGGAGCGGGCTTGACATGATCCTTAGGAGGCCCAGATGCAGGCAGGTTAGCAGGGAACATAGCAACGGAGTGAAGCGTGGGAGACGGGCCAGGCCGTGCCTGACCAACAGGGACCTGGAGACATTCACTGTGCACCAGGGGATGTGTGTGGGGAGTGTGAAGACAGTCACTGGAGCCTCTTGGAGGTGGGAAGCAGGAGAGACCAAGGTGTCAGGGGGGGATGCCCTGGAACTTGTTTCCCAACCAGGTGGTCACTATCTTGGCTCAGCTGCAGTAGTCTTGTTTCCCTTCCACATGCACGACAGGCCTGTTCTCTGTGACCCCGTGGTGGGTGCCTGACATCTGGTGGGTTTTGAGATGAGACAGGAAAAGGGGGAGGGTGGTGCAGTGGGTTTGCCCCAGAGTTAGACGGCTCCTTCACTTGGGGCACCTATCCTTCCAGAGCATGTGAGCTACTGAAAACTGATGCTTTGTTCTCTGCCCCTTGTTCTGTAGCAGGAAGGTGGTGCCCTGGTCAGAACTCACAGCTATTGGCCATCCAAACACCAGGGTGTGGCCATCTGGAGGCCAAGGGGGCATTGGCTGAGGGGCAGCAGGTCTGCCCGGAGTGGGCTGGGTATTTGAGCCTCTGGAACACTATGGGGCTCAATGATGCTGGTCTTGAGGGGCAGGCATCTGGGGCCTGGCCACAGTTACCGCTGCCTCTCATGGTTCACAGACCTGCACGTGGGCATCACCAAGAGGCTGAAGAACGTGGAGGTGCTAGAGGGTGAGGGCTGCAACTTCGAGTGTATCCTGTCCCATGAGGACACAGGTGACACTGCCACTTGGACAGTCGGCGGGAAGACATTGGGCAGCTCAGGCCGCTTCCGGGCCACTCGCCAGGGCCGAAAGTACATCCTGGCTGTGCGAGAGGCGCTGCTGAGTGACACCGGGGAGGTGGTCTTCTCTGTGCGCGGCCTCACCTCCAAGGCCTCGCTCCTCGTCAAAGGTGGGCACCATGCACCCGGACAGATGGGCCACTCTCCCCAGGCAACCTGCAGTGGAGCCTTCGGCTGGGCAGCTTTCCAGGGGAGGCTTCTGGGGACTACCTCCCTCAGCCACCGGTGGGGGCCCAGAGCTCCGGTCGGGATGTGGGGTTTCTGGTCATCTGGGGGCAGGAGCAGGGCTTCTGGTCTCGCATCTGTGGTCTGACTGCTGTGGTAGCTCCAGGGCACATGGTCACCGAGCCAGTGAAACCACTGAGCTCATGCTCCCAGCATAAACACTGGTGCAGATCAGTGAAGCTTGGCTCACAGGTGGCACCAGCCATGGCTACGTGATGTCACGGGCTCTGAACAATGCTAAGAGCATCTGTGCTCTCATATTCCA